TATCAAAGTTACGAAAAGCATAATGGTAGCGCAAAGCTTACATGGGCTAGGACGGGTGCCATGAGTTTTTGTGATGTAGCTTAGAAGTCGGATGATATTAACGGATATTTGAGTCTTTGGTGCCTGGCTGACTGCTTATTTGAGCATTGTTATGATTAGGTTGCATAGAGAATATTAGAATAAACGGTGACATCTTGCTTGATAAATAAAATATTTCCTTTTTCTCCCTCATTCGCTCTAATTCAGTTATCATGCATTTCGCTTTGCCCTTTCCTATTATCTGTCATTTTTTGCCAAATAGATATACTTATATGAATATACCGAAGATATGGAACTAATCCCGCGTCCAGAGCACTTAGTTCCCTACGCAGTAGTTCGCTGCTCTTGGGTTTATCCTAGTCCCAGTTTCCCCCCAGGCCCTATCAGTGTTTTCGATGGTGCCATTCTAACCACCTGCGTCAATAGCTCTCAGCCTATCCTGCCCATCTCTTCATATACTTCAGATCCTAATGCCTCAGCTCGATCCCCAGCTTTTTCATCAGGGACTCCAATGCAACATGGTCTTTGCTCTACTGAGTCTACTACCGGAATTAATTGCTTGATTCAATCCCCTGCTTCTAGCAGTCCTGCTACTGGATCAGGCCGGTCATTGTTGATGACACCAGGTCAAATTTCCTCTCCTGTACTCTCTGCTACTGATTCGGTGAGTCAACTGCATTCTTTTACACTAATACTATACGTTATTAATTTTTTCTAAAGCAGCTTTTCCTCAGACCCGAGTTTAATTCCTTTAGATTTTCCGAGTTAACTAGAGTGATATTAAATAAAATAGTACTTTAATCCAGGCAATTGCTTTATTTAATTTACATTCATAACTAACCAACTAGTATCTGAGTAACCAGTGCGAAAGTGCCACAGAGAATTTTTAGATAAAAAATCACACAAACTTTAACACGGGCGATGGAATTCTGTCTTCAGGAACGGTTTACTTTTTTTCTATAGCAATAAGATTTGTTAGATTCGCTTGTGCTATAC